GGTCATTCTAAGAGGTAGTTTAAAATCTTTTCAATCTGGATTTTTTCTCGTTGCAGTGTTCAACCCTTCCTGTAAGAGACGTCCACACATCTCCTTGTCATTAGAGAATAAAGTTAAAGTTATTTTGGAATCACAAAGTGAATCAAAACCCTCCTATACTGTACTCAGTGAAAAATTTGGTGTTAGTAAAATGACAGTGTGTAATATACTCAAAATGAAAAATAGATACTTAGCAGAATGGAACTTGCTACAAGATAAGACTATGTGAAAATTTCATGATATCGATAGTGAATGCAATTTACTTTGGAAGTATTAAGGATTCTGGTTTGTAATATGCATGGAAATCAGTTGAATCAGTATTTTGAAAATTTGTTGTTATGAATATAGAACATTTAAAGGGATTGTAAAGAAGTTTTCTAAATGTGTATAGGTCATAGCATCAATTTGCACCATTCCAATTTTCAGTCAGACATCTGTGGTTCCTGCAATTCCACTAAAACTAAATGATTGATGACATCTCTAATCTCAAAATGTGCTTTATAATATAAAATCCTTTGCCATTAATGTCATCAAATTAGCAGTGGAATATTGCAGTTTCAAATGAAACTAAATTAAGAATTCTGATGGCATAATTCATCAAGAATCAGAGAAGTAAAACACATCAGAAAATAACAAATTTTGAGTTTAATCTATACATGCATGCATATAAAATTACAAAATAACATAATTATTGCAATGGGATCAGGTTTAAAAATGATACTAGATTTTCTTGTAATTCAAGACTATTTTGATAAAAAAATGTATTCAATTCATTTGTTAAATTCTGTAAACTTTATAAGTAGAAAAAAAAATTATAATCAGTCATAAATATAAACTTATTTCATTCAATTCATTCAAAATATAAATATTTTGCAATCTGTGGTATACATTTTTTAATTATCAACCTACATTTTTATAATCTCTGTGTGTTTATTTACTCAGCTAACAATAAAACCGTAACAAAAAACATCTGTTGAATAACTATGGGAATAACCCATACTGTTTAAGGTACCATATACGGCAGATTTTAAATATTTGTCATATGCAATATGGGTAATAGGGAAGGAATACAAACAAATCTTTTCACCTCTGTTCACACTATATAATAACCTGAATTTTCTCTTCTTTCGTTGCAGTGTTCAACACAACTCGAAGACAACACAAAATTTTAAATTTAGAAGAGAAAGTTCAAGTTATTTGTGAATCAGAAAGTGAAATGAAACCATCTCAAACTAAACTTGCTGAGAAATTTGGTATCAGTCAGATGACAGTTTGTAATATTTTAAAAATGAAAGAAAAACTTCTATACGAGTGGAGAAACTCCTATAAATGATTCATAAAGGTATAAATAACAACTTTTTCTGAATAAAAAATAACAAAGCTTAACAAGATGCTTCATTATCAATAACGACATACTGTAAAAAAAAAAATTGCATACAATTTTAATAACCTGTTGAAATTACATTTTTTCTGATATTTTTCTTGGCCTTAACAATCTGACAGGATGTAAAACTCCATTCATTTCATTTCATTTACAATCTGGCAGGATGTAAAACTCCATTCATTTGATTTCATTTACAATTAAGATAGCTGAAATAATTCAATTATATTTCACCTTAAAATAATTTAATTGTAATCAGCTGAACTATAACTGATGTAATAATTAGTGCAAAATTTAAAAAAAAACAGAATAAAAAAAAATTGAATATGTAATTCCATCAGATTGTGACAAATGATTGTTACTTTGGCTTGAATTTTTCTCTGCTTTTAGAGATATATGTTAAAGATATTGCACAATTTAGGTAAAATTGTTAGTTTAAATAATGATGACCTAGTAACAAGTATTCAGTGAGTGTATACCAAGGAAACAAGTAACAGATGCAACACATTTGTGACCTGGCATAGGATAATGAGTCCAGTAAAATTTAGAACCTAAGTCACTTTTTCATCCAGTCAGCATTGGCCAAATTTTCTATTAAGTGAAAATTAATTTAATTCAGAATTTCTCGTGTGGAATATGACTGACAACTATCGTTAGGTTCAAAGTAAGGTTGTTCCTATTAAAGTAAAAATGTTCATGATTCTTATTGATTTAACTAAAATAATGCACCAATAATTGCTCTATGATAGTTCATCTCCGCAGAAGAGATAATTCTCTATTTGTAATAACTTAGTTTTGAAATTTATGTCATTTGGACCTCTTTGCAAAGTCACATTTATGATTTGACTATAAAAATAACAAAAATGTAATTTTATGTTGGCTAGGGTTTTTTTGGTTGAGTCATATAACTAACATAATAAATACTGATATTCAACATCATTAGGATATTAACATCATGTTCACAATCTCTCCAGCAAACTTGATATTTTATCATAAAATTATCAGCCTTTTTTGGTATTTAATTATTGTTTTTCTTTACCATTTCAGTGACGTTAAGAAAGAGAACTGAACTGTCTCTAGAAGATAAAGTCAAGTTAATCAACTTTGCTGAAACTAATCCAAATCTTTCACAGAGAGTTTTAAGTTCAAAATTTGATATATCTCAAGCCAGTGTTTGCCAACTTTTAAAAAGAAAATATGTGTTTTTAGAGAGATATAGACAACTGCAGGGAGATATAGAAAGGAGTTGAGATAATACTTAAATAATAATTTGGTATCATGTTTTTGTATTTTCTAGTCAAACCATTTGTGACCAGCACATCGTATCAGGTATTAAGTTGCACGGCCCAGTAATAAGCTGGCAGTGAAGTTTTAAAGGGGATTCAAATCTGGATATTAAATTGACTATATCTTCTGAACGGAGAAAGCTATTGAGATGGAATTGGTATCAAAACGTAGCCGATGATGCCAGGAATCCAAATATACTAATAGCTCTACATACACCAAATGCTACTTAATACCTGGTTTGATGTGCAGGGTCACATTTAATAAGACTGTCACAATAGGTTTTTATAAGAGACAAATTTCGTCACCCAAGATACTTATTTCAAATTTGGATTACTGTAATCCTTAATTTTTTTAGAAGAAGGCCCCAAGACTAGTTTATGTATTTTAAATATTTTGATCAATATTATGAAGAATAAAACTTCTATTTATACCTTAGATGTTCATTTTTTGAAATTCTCCACACATTAATAAAATTGTGAAAAAACTGTCAGATAATATGAAAATGAGAGCCCTATATAGATCATCATAAGAACTGATTAGTAGCAATTTTCTATATCGGTGTTTTGTTTTTGGTAATTTTTTTTCGCTAATTATTGCAAGTCAATAAATTGGGATAATAAAATGATGATAATGATCCTAGATGAATAAGACTAGTACTTAACGAGTAAATAAAAACATTGCAAAATAAACAGACTAGGATGGTGTAAAAGAATCAGTACATTCAGGTATGATTTAGAATTAAACATAAACAGTCAAATTATTTCTAGGTATTGGAAGCATCAATGAGCACAATATAAATGTGGCTTTGATATTTTCAATTACTATTTATTCTACCTCAAAATTATATGGACTGTTAACATTTGAAACATACCCAGATATACATTAATATCTTTGCTTGACTATACAGAGTAGTAAATATATTTAAACCCAACCAGGGTTGACATAATCTCTAACAGTCTTAAAGTTATTTAAAGGTAGAATATATAGTAATTGAAACCAAATTATTCAGACTTCTGTTGTATACTACTTACACAACTTAAAAAAATAGAGTGCACTGCTCTTTTTTATGATTTAAAATGTCCCTGGATGTTTATTAATATCTTTTCTTGACTATACTAAGTAATGAGACAATGTGTAGACTACTGTAGACGTATGATAGATGGTACACCAGTAAAAACAGGTACTGAAACTAGAACCAAAGATTATGATTGACATTAATGGATTTAGTCATCAAACAAGCTATTAAAGCTCAGTATCATATTTCATATTAACTGATGAAGAACATATTTTGACAACTTTGTCACTTAAACCTTGTATATTCTATAGGAGTAAAAAAGCTCAACTTTGCTTCTCAAAAAATCTTACCATAAAAGTGTGACAATTTACATGGCAACCTTCATCTTAAAAAAAGCCTTAAAAATGAGTATTCCTAATCAACTAGAGATTACCGGTATAGTTTTCAATTTCAACCCGAACAAACCGGTATTTAACAATGGTATTTGTATAAATCCAAGAAAATTTAGACAAAGGTAGTTTTGTCCGTAGAGTAAATGGTGATTCATTCTCTACAAGATAGGCCTATATTATGTACAATACCTTACACAAATGAAAACACCTGTTTGTGGTTTGTAACAACCTTAGTGCGATGTGCTTATCTTTGACTACAGCAATTTGGTATTTATGTAACAATATCATGATTCATGATGATGTATGTTTTATGAGACACTACTTCCATGTATTATAATTCTGACTAGGTAGGTAAAAATAACAAACTGATAAGATGAAAGTGGATGATGAAATGAAAATGCACTATTTTGCTATAAGTCTACAATATAACAGGACCTGTTTAATTCAGAATCATTTAAAACCTGGCTAGATTAAATTTAGTCTGCTCAGTAAATTGAATTATCTTCAAAAAAACAACAATAACAAATGATGTATATGATTCAAAACAATAAAAATGTAAAAAAATGTAGGGTACATTTCTCTTCTGTAGGAGTGACAGTTAAAAATCAACCATAGTCTCAATGTACCACAAAATAGTGGTCAAATACTTGAATTTTAACAAAACTGGACTTCCATTGAAGATCCTATAAAATTTGTATGACGTTTTTTAGATAAGGCCAGTAGTATCATTCTAACATCATCATACAGGAGACAATCTCACCTAGAAAGATATGGCATGGTATTTAAGCAAATTTATAAAGAGCCCTTATACCATATAATATGAGCATGCAAGGAGTATAAAAAGGTAAAAATTAAAAGTATACTAATAAAGGAAGAACTATATTTGCTAGGATGCGTTATTTAAGTAGTTAAAAATCTGTGCCGTTCTGTTTAAGATGGGAGACAACTCTTCCTCCTCTTCTAAACTACCACCGTTATCTGTTCCACCAGGTTGAGACGACCCTATAAAAGTTCTATGGCACTGTATCATGTGATCATTCAAATTGCCAGGACGGGAAAATTTCTTTGCACAATATCTACATTTAAACTTGGTAGGAAAATGTCTCTCCTTTATATGTCTTTGTACGTTGGTTTTAAAACTAAAACTTTTCTCACACAATGGACATCGAAATCTCGTTTTATTCTGAAAAGACACAAAAAAATCAAGAGTGTATATGATCAGAAACAAATTACTACAAACAACTTAAATGATGCTGATGACAGTGATAAAGTCACCACTACCCTAATATTCCAGGTTACAGTAAAGGTTCAGAGAAGCTGTGAATTGCTGTTGGTTTACAATAGAAACCCATTAAAGAACATATTCCATCCCTGGTACAACTGCAAATACACAAATTCCCTGTTATTACATGACATTTGATACTTGGCTGTTAATAACAGTTGTGAAACAGAATTTCAGGTTAAAATAACTGAATAAACAGCTCAGAATTTCTACATATTAAATACATGATGTATTATGTCCAGTAACATGCATGTAGGGTATGGGGTATAATAACACTTGCGCAAATTCTGTTTGTGCAATGACACACACTGAAAGGTCTGGGGGTATGTGTCATGTCATGTTAAAAAATTTGACAAGCATGAAATTTTGTATTACTGGGTATGTGGGAGCCACTCTCGAAAAAAAACGTGTTAACACAGCACAGTGTATACACTTCTGCACCTGAACAAAGCATGAAATATGTGCAAATGATACCTAACATGTGAGTAAAAAAGTATTTGAGTGATTATATTAATGCAGCTTAGTGTGTTACTTATGTTTGTACAGTTTCCAAAGACTGTACTCCAAGAAGTATCAAAATGGCACACCTTGACACGAACCCGGCATGGGGTTTCGGTGACAAAAATCGTGTAAGTGTCAGTGTAGCATGTGTTTGGATTGTCAAATCGCAACCTGACTATATAAAAGTGTCGACTGAATAAAGAACAATGAATGAAGTAATACTATGAAGATTAGTAGTAAATAAGCAGATTTATTGCAGTATAACATTAAAAGATATACAACACTGATATGAGATGATATACATAAAACATGACAAAATACTTATAACAAATTCATCACCAGCTTCAAACTGTTGGTGTATAACAAACTGCTTGAATATAAAACAAAGTCAAAAGACTTTTTCCTCGACAATAATTCATCAAGAAAGTAAAATTGCAACCAACGTCAATGTCAAAAGACAGTATAAACACCAAGCATACTGATTGCATCTAAAGATATGCCTGAATATACTCTGTATAAAATTATTTCAAGGAAACCTGATGAAATGCTTAGGTAACTTTAAAATGAGTTTCCGTGATGAACAAATGCCTCTAAATTAATATAAAATTAAGTTACAATGAAGTAAAAATGCCCATGTAATGAAATATTAAAATAACATTCCAACTTTATTTATATCTAAACCTTCATCTTTATGACTAGTTTGAATATGCTCTCTTAAAAGACCTTCAAGAGGAAATTTAGCAGGACAATAATTGCACTGAGCATCATATGGAATGTCGGTAGCTTTAACACTATCTGAATCTTTATCTCTGTGCATATTTTTAACATGATCTTCTAAATAAATTTGTCGAGAGAATAGGGCAGGACAAAGAAAGCATGGATGTTTAATTTGTAAATGTTTTTCTTTAAGGTGACGTTTAAGACTCCAATTTCTCGAGAATGATGCACCACACATTTCACAAACTATTCTTTTTGAACCAGATTTTTGGCCTTCACTCTACAAATATACAAAAAAATTTGGCTTTGGTTCGTTTGTCTTGGCACGTATTCAAAAGAAATAGTTTTGAAACTAAAGTGTATGGTTCAAAAGTTTCCTAACCATCTTAAGTAATAAAGGCATTTGTGTGGTTTCTCGGTTAATATTGTAAATGGATTAAATCCTTCAGAAAAATAAGAAGAATTTTCAGTTTTAATCATTCCATTCACACAAACACTTAAAAATATTAACCATTTATTCACTTTGGGTTTGATCAAACTTATGGATTTTTATGATATGTCTTTTCAGTGAAGTTCTTTGAGTAAATTTTTTTCCACAAATCGGACACGTATAAGATCTCTGTAAATGTTTTTCATTAAAATGGCGCTTGACACTACTTTTATCAGAAAATATTTTTCGACATTGATTACAAATATATTTATCAATTCCAGTTTCGTCGACGGTAATTTCACAGATAGTACTTATATCATTGATCTTCACTACCTACAATTACAGAAACCAAATATAAATTGGAGTGTCTTCGCTTATTTAGCTAATATAACTGTTTATTCACAAATCAGTTTATTTTTATTTTGATGGAAGAACTGTTTTATATATTTTCAAAATTATAATACTGTCACATGATTTTTGATATCAGTATACTAAAATGAAAAAAATACTATGTTTTTCACTTTGTAATACATATTAGACATTATATATGTATATATGTTTTTTCACTAAGTGCACAAATGTACAGCAACTAGCTTGAGTATTAAGTATCCTTTCCCAACAAATTTCACACTGAGAACTACTTCACAATTCCAGAAAACAACTGTCCCAAGTCAACATTGTGATAACTAGTTATATGACGTTTTAAAGACGATCTTTGAGTAAACAAAGCACCACATATCATACACTTGCAACGTAAATGAAGATGACGTTCATTATAATGGCGTCTAAATTTTGATAACGTTGACAGCCCACTACTACACAATTTACACATAAATCTGACCTCTCCATGTACTGTCATCACTTTATTAACATTAGCTTTCTGAAAATTAGGTAAAAATTACGTTTTAGTAGGAATTACATTTTTTCAAAACTCTAGTCTACTGATTATTTAACTATCTTAATTTGAAATTGTTAATTATTTATATTAATTAAAGCATGCCTTATCCTTCAACTGACTTTTAAACTCCATTCCAGTCAAGTAACAAACCAAACCAAGAAACCTCAATTTTCCATATTACTCCATTTTGAAACATAAACTTATCCTTTCTAACTGAACCCATTTTGTCCTTATCCTTTCAAATTTACAACCAGTTCATATACAATCTAATAAGCATGCTACCAACTACATCTTGTACAAGTTAAAATGACGACCGCTAGGAAATCATAAGCCCAGCTTCAGTAACACTAATGACAACCAGCTACAGAGTAGCTCAAATTTTAATGTTTATACAAGTGCTGATATTCTTCCAATTTATAATCAGTCAATAGATGCTAAATAACAGTCTTATTTTGATGTTAATAGAATGACTTATCCAGAACAAAAGTATAAGCAAATACGGTCGAAAGTAGGGTTGAAATAATATTTCATGCCTATATTAACGCCCAGAACATACAATCAAATGAAGATCCACAGTTTCTAACACAAATGTGCTGAAATCAAGAGGTATGAAGTTGGGTTGTATCAAGTCCAATGTGACTCAAGCTGAGCTATAGATGATGTTAATAATAATTAATATATACTTACATAAGATCCATCATCTATTGATATAAAATTAGTGGCTGAAACTAGAAAATAAAATCTTAATTAATATCATTCTTAAGAAAGCTTGAAAAGGTGTTGATGTCCTGTACATATAATATAGATGAACAAACTGATTATGAAGGAAACAACAAGCATGTGTCAAGAAGTTCAGATAAGATAATATTTTGAGGTTTGATGCTACAGGTCAGTAGGCAAAGTAGAACATCTGAACAGTACCCTGTATGTTATTTACATCAAACAAAAGCAGCAAAAACAATGTGTGTAGCTCATAAACCCAATTTCATTGCAATGATGCCACAAAAATTGCCCAAATGAGCAAAAACAAATGATGAGGAATGCTGCCTGCTTTAGTTCATAGAAGGTGTCCCATGAAAAAACTCACCATTTTGTTGTGATGGAGAAGAATAAAGATGAGACGAGGATGAAGAAGGAAGATGGGGTAGACGAGAACTACCAGTATGTTGTTGATTTATTGCTTCAGTATAAAAATTCAATAATTGTTCGTTTGTGGCTGAATAATCTGATAAACTTTCTTCATCTCCACCATAAATACTACCCCCTCCTGAAATAAATAAAGAAACAAGTTCTAATTCCAACATTTCATGGTAATTTTACACCTGAATTAAAACAAAATGCCAAATAATAACATCGCGGTAAGAGGATTTGCTTTGTTATAACATACCTTGATTTCGAATGGAATCTGTCAGGTTTTCATCGTCCTCTATCTCCTCAATATCACTATCTGGTTTAGGTTCTGATTTTATGGATGTTACATCAAGTTGTTGATAGGGTTGACTAGCAGATTGGGAATTGTTGTTAGAATGTGGCAGAGTATCTTTTTTTGATGGAAGTGACGCTGAGCTAAGATTAAATTGATTGAAATCTTCATCTTTATCAGGTTCTATTTTAATTCTAGGAATATCATCTGAAGACTGAGAGCTGTCCATTCTTGGCCTCTTAATAGGAGTATTTGGTGTATAAATATCAGCAAAATGTCCTGGTGGATTTCTTGATGACCCATTCTTGTATCTTTCCGTTCTTCTTGAGACAGCAAATAACTTTGGTTTCGAATTCTGGATGACATTTGCATCTAGATTATGTTCAGAAATGTTTTCTTTGGATTTCAGGTTTGAATTTTCAGCAGTATCACTGTTGTGGTTGACTTTGGCTGGTTCAGCATGGAAACTATTGCTTACAAATGTTGTGGAAGTTTCGTCACTTTTGCAAACTTTTTCATTTACGAAATAATTATATTTACTACCACTATCTACATTTAAATACAAATGTCCTATAATTTCTACATTTTCGTTGAACTGAATATCACTATGACACAAAAGTTGTAAGTTTTTAACAATTGAATTAATGAACTTGCCAGCAGCCGTGTTATCCATTTTGTAAAACCTGAAATGAAAGGCAAGAAACTGATGTCAATTTTGATGAAAACTCAGAGAAACCAAATAGATTATGAATGAGCAAATAAGTGTTTAAAAAATATTTATTATTGTAGAATAACAGTAAATTTTTAAAGGATATTTAAAATTCTTTTCATACTCTACAGAAAAAATCACACAGGTTGAATTTATTATGTGAGCACTTTATTGATACTATCTACAGATAAATCTTTTTTTTTTAGAAGTAGTGTACATTTGCAAGATAATTCTAATTAGAAAAAGTTCTAAAAAGCTAAAGGGAAATGCATATTACATGAACTTATTCAGTATCGTAATTCGCAATTCAAACAGTGTCAGTAATAATGAAGGACAGGCGTATCCCATGCATAAACATTGCTTGTCTTACGACTGTTACAAAGAAAGCACGAATCCATTATTATCATCATGGATGCCAGTGCTGCCGATCAATGGCGGTGGATTTGGGCCGTGCCGCAACACAAAATCCAATTTTAACAACTATTTTCATTATGCAATGCGAATGTAACTTTGCAACACAATGTAATGAGCAATAAATAGACAATATCCATCGCGAAGAAATTTTTTTTTGCCTTAAAACATACCAAAATCATAAAAATCTATATCAAATTCCGTGGGTTCTTTGTTAATTTATTTCGGTATCACTTCGCTGAATCAACCTTACTGGATGCTGACCCATGTAAATCGTAACCATCATATATACAGTACGTACCCAAGCTTCCCCTTTAAAAATTTGTCTTTCTACTAAGAATTGAATGAAGTTAAATGCTTTATTAGAGACAAATCTCGAGAGACTTCTTATGTTTTAGCATGAATGTTAACTATTTTACTTATAATCCAAATAAAATTGTCATCTTTTGCAATATAGTTTTGTTTTATTATGTTCCAAAGCCCTACAAAGATATGCAGGAACTTGCCTTTATCGAACAGCCAAATTATGATTTACTAGCTGGGAGTTCTATTTTAAGTTTTTCAAAATACCAACAAAAGGTACTTCGGAAATGGCAGAACGCACAATAACAGTAGCTACCACATCGCCATTGCTCACAGTCAATGGAGGTTTGGATTCCATCTTAGGCTTGGGGCGTAGGTAGAGATAACAACATAGAATTACAGGACAATATTATCATGTCAGGTTTCTCATCATGAAATGCACTTGCTACAAACTTGACCAGGCCTCTGTTATTTGAGACAAAAAAGGAAAACCTTTTATACAAAATTTTTTATTACCAGAGAAGAACAGAGTCGAGACTGTTCTATACAAAATGTTTCAAAAATACAAAACAAAGTTGACATAAATTCTATAGAAAAACAATAGATTCTGATGTCTGTGGAATTTCTATTAAATGTAACAAAACAGGTCTTAGCAATATTGGAAATTACTTAAGAAAATGAAATTTGTTGTAAAAGTCTAATGATTAATGTTCAAAAATGTTTCTAAATTTATGAAGAGAGCTTGTCAGCATATACATGTACATACATTTGGCTTAAATTTTAATTAACCAATATGAAATCTTGTTAAACAAAGTGGATAGGCTTGAATTTTAGACCTTTCAATTTCTTTATTAATCATAAAAAAAATAATCATTCACATAATTGGAAATATGAATCAGACAATAAAGCCAACAATCCTTTTTTTCAAAAATATCACAAGATTATTATGACCAAATAAGAAATCAACCCATTCAAAACAACAGATAGATCGTTTCAAAACATATATCTCTTCACAAAAGAGAAAACATTTAAATAACATAGTTACATACTTTATATCAAATAATTATAACATAAATAGATGAAGTTTGTGACCAATTTTGAACACTTCCATAAAAGGCTTAAAATATCATCTCAGTATAAATCAATTAGCAAGCTATGAATGCTATGAAAATGTGTAAAATAAGTGTAGTGAAGAAAGTTAGATGATATCTTATCTCCCATTTATCCAGGAATTTATTCTTGTGAGTTCACTACCACAGTCCAGTCTAATCAAAATTAGTTCAGTTAGAGTCTAAAGACAGCCTTCTTCTACATGCGTCTGTTTGATGACACCGCCAGCCAATCAAATTTTCTGCCCTCTCGAACATTAGATTTCGTGAAGCGAAAACAAGTGTGTTCTGAGAAGCATTAGACACTGAATGCACCTTTCGTTCAAGTCACACAATCCCAGCCATGGAGAGGGCAGGAATGTGATTGGCTGGCTGTTTCATCAAAAAGGCCATCTTTAGACCCTAACTGAAGTGGTTATATTAAAAATAAAAGCTAATAAAAAAAACAGAACGAGAGTTGGGTCTAATTTAATTTAGACTAGACCATGGCCTGTGTTAATTTTAACAATTAGAAATTATGTTTCTTAATTTAATAAGAAAACCTTTGTACATTAACTTTGACCCATTTCTCTTGTTTCAATGAATCTTTTTTTATTGAAAACCTAGCATAATTCAATAAAAATGCAAGAAAAGAATATCTGCTAGTGTCAAGGGTTTGATAAATCATAATCCAACATCATTAGCAAAATATCTGATTAATAAATTGTAATCCAAATATCAACCATCTGAGTCAATATTAGGATCTGTTATTTGTGCAAACTGATTATTTATACTATAAAATTTAGTTATATAATCATTTTTCTTTTTCAAAATCTTGTTAATGGCTGGTTGACTGACTCCGTAACGTAATGCTAGAGTTTTCTGAAATGGTTTTTCACTGGATTCAGCTGCCTGGATGATTTCTATTTTGTTTAATAATGATAATTTGGTACCACTCACTGAAAGAAGGAAAATATAAGTTTTAAAGCAGTGACAGAGAAAATTAATGAAATTTTTTCA